TCCCAAAGTGCTGGGATTACAAGTGTGAGCCACTGCGCCTGGCCAAGGTGTTTCTTTATATGACCAGTACCTGAGCACTGGGAGTCAGGAGACCTTTGTTCCTGGTCTGACTATGCCACTTCAAGGCTCATTTGGTTCACTGGCAAAATGAGAACAATATACATGCCTCTCAAAGCCGGTGGGAGGATCCAGTGGTGCCCAAACACCAGTCTATGCATGGTGGGATCAGAATTACTTGGAGATACTTAACCTCGGAATCCAGGACTCCACACTGAGAGATCCTAATTCTGGAGACCTGGGATGGGGCTCTAGAATCGATATTTATGAAAAGTACCGTAGATTCCAATGTGCATCCAGGGCCAGGAGCATGTATGGTCACGTATGCAAAGCATAGGCATTCAAATCACAAGGAAGGCCAGGTGCCACGGCTCATGCCTGTAATCCCAACACTTTGAGAGGCTGAGGCAGGCAGATTCCAGGCCAGGAGTTCAAGACCAGCCTGGCCAACATGGTGAAAACCCGTCTACTAAAACCACAAAATTAGCTGGGAATGGTGGTGTACACTTGTAGTCCCAGCTACTCTGGAGGCTGAGGCAGGGGAATCACTTGAATCCAGGAGGCAGAGGTTGCAGTGAGCCAAGATCCCACCAGTGCACTCCAGCCTGGGCAACAGAGCAAGACTCCATCTCAAAAAACAAAACAAAAACCAAACAGCAGCTGGGACTCTCCTGCCCTGGGCCCAGTTTCCTTATCTGTGAAAAGGGCATAGATTGGATAGTCATTATACTGAAAAAGAAAGGAAGGAAGAGGGGAGAGAAGAGAGAGAAACTATCTTAAATTCTTAGGAGAATGGCAGAATGATTTTGTTCCTATCAATTGTCGAACAAAGCCAGACACTAGTTAAAGCGGTAAGGAGAGATTTTAATCAGTAATGACTATTGCAATAGGGAAAAGAGTCCAGTATGAACTAAACTCAGCTTTAATTTGTACAGAGGTGAATGGGTATTATAAAGGGAGGTTGACCAGAGTGGGCAATATGGTAAAACCCCATCTCTACAAATGAATAAATAAATAAAGTAGCCGGGCGTGGTGGTGAAGTTGAGGTGGGAGGATCACATTAGCCTGGGAGGTCAAAGCCGCAGTGAGCTGTGATTGCGCCACTGCACTCCAGCATTGGCAACAGAGTGAGACCCTGTCTCAAAAAAATACAAAATAAAAAAAAGGAAGATTGAGGGAGGAAGGTGTGGGCAAATGATTAGTAGAGTTAGCGAAGTAAAAAATTACAAAAGGTTAGTCAGTATACATGCAGTGAGGCTAGCTGTGTCTGCCAGTTGGCAACGATCAAAGTTAGAATTTTTGCCTCCCAGAGACTAGGAGACAGAGGTAACATTGTCAATGGTTGCCCGGAATGAACGGTAAACATTTATTATTGAGTTTTCTCAGGAAGGCACCTTAGCGGGGGTTGGCTAGAGTCATTTTAGAGATGTTAGCAGCTGTTAGAAACAATTAGCGTTTGTTTAAGTCTTCTTTTTTCTTTTTAGAGATAAGGTTCTCTCTGTCCCTCAGGCTGAAGTCCAGTGGTGTAATCAAAACTCACTGCAGTAGCCAGGCGTGGTGGCTCACACCTCTAATCCAAGCACTTTGGCAGCCAAGGCGGGCGGATCACCTGAGGTTGGGAGTTCAAGACCAGCCTGACCAACATGGTGAAACCCCGTCTTTATAAAAAACAAAACAAAACAAAACAAAACAACGAAAAAAAACACCTCACTGCAGTCTCAAACTCCTGGACTCAAGCCATCCTCCCACCTTGGCCTCTTGATTAGCTAGGATTACAGGTGTGTTCCAGTATGCCCAGCTAATTAAAAAAAAAAATTTCAGGCCAGGCATGGTGGCTCACATCTGTAATCCCAGCACTTTGGGAGGCTGGGGCGGTCACGAGTTCGAGACCAGGTTAGCTAACATGGTGAAACGCTGTCTCTACTAACAATACAAAAAATTAGCTGGGCGTGGTGGCATACGCCTGTAATCCCTACTTGGGAGGCTGAGGCAGGATAATTGCTTGAACCTGGGAGGCAAAGGTTGCAGTGAGCTGAGATCCTGCAGTTGCACTCCACCCTGGGCAACAGAGCCAGACTCTGTCTCAAAAAAAAAAAAAAAAAAAAATTATTAAAAAATTTCTAGAGAGGCGGGATCTTGCTATGTTGCCCAGGCTGGTTTCAAGCTCCTGGGCTCAAGGGATCCTCTCATCTTGGCCTCCTGAAGTGCTGGGATTACAGGCATGAGCCACGGTGCCTGTAGATCAAGGTTGACGCTTAGAAGGGAGCCCAGAGGAACCTGGCTAGAGTTCCGTCAAGGAAAGAGTCTTTGTCACCATAGTACCTAAAATTACATAGCTGTTAAACAGAATGAGGCCAGGCATGGTGGCTCATGCCTGTAATTCCAGCACTTTGGGAGGCGAGGCCAGCGGATCACTTGAGGTCAGGAGTTCGAGACCAGTGTGGGCAACATGGTGAAACCCTGTCTCTACTAAAAATACAACAATTATCTGGGCATGGTGGCGGGCACCTGTAATCTCAGCTACTCAGGAGGCTGAGGCAGAATTGCTTCAACCCAGGAGGCATAGGTTGCAGTGAGCTGAGATCGCGCCCCTGTGTGCTAGCCTAGAGCCAGAACCTGAGCAGCCATTTTACAAAATGCAAAACTGTTTTTAAAATAAGTTGCAACAGCTGCCCGATTCTCCTCACAATAACTGCTGGCCTTGGCTTCTGTGAATAGAACTGCTAGTTTGTACTGCAAACTATGTAAAACTGCTTACCTTTTCTTTTTTTTTTGAGACGGAGTTTCACTCTTGTTACCCAGGCTGGAGTGCAATGGCGTGATCTCGGCTCACCACAACCTCCGCCTCCTGGGTTCAGGCAATTCTCCTGCCTCAGCCTCCTGAGTAGCTGGGATTACAGGCACGCACCACCATGCCCAGCTAATTTTTAGCATTTTTAGTAGAGACGGGGTTTCACCATGTTGACCAGGATGGTCTCCATCTCTTGACCTCGTGATCCACCCGCCTCGGCCTCCCAAAGTGCTGGGATTACAGGCGTGAGCCACCGCGCCCGGCCAACTGCTTACCTTTTCTTATCAGTAACTGCCAGAATTGCTAGCCTTTGCTTACCCATAATAACCAAAATAAGCAGCCCAAGCTAATTCCATCCTGGCTTCTGTGACTTGTAATAAGTAACTAAGATCTGTGACTTCTATCACTACCGAGACAATGTGTAAACAAATGTTTATCTTGACTTCTGTAAACCACTGAAGTAACAAATGGAATGACAAAAGTCCCTTGGCCCTTAGAATGTCCGGAGACCCCCACCCTCATCTCCGCCCAGAAGGTAATTTACAGAATCCACTAGCCCTCGGAATGTCTGAAGCCTTTCCATCCCCATCCCCGCTCCTCACCCCCATCCCCGCTCCTGACCCCCACTCCCAAGGTGGTTTTTCGGGTATGAAAAGTCTTGGCACCCTCCTTTCCACGCCACAGGTTGGAGAGACGTGAGTCCTCTGTGGTCGCCGGCATCATAAATGACCCTGCAATCTGGCATACTTTTGTCCTGGTGCTAACTTTCTACGCTCGGTCCAGTACAACACCTGTACTCCATGCGGGGCGACAAAGTGAGACTGTCTCAATCAATCAATCATCAATAAATAAAAATAAATAAAAGCAGTGTGTTATGGAGCGAGAACCTGGGTCGGGGACGCGGGTGAGCCGCCTGTCCCGCCACCCGCTGGAGGACAGGAATCCTCAGAGCCTCAGGCCAGAGGACCGGTCCCAACACAGACAAGCGGATACCCCTCAGGGCACGGTCTCCCACGGCGCGATGGGCACCTGGACCCAATCATTTCTCAACTTTCTAGTTTTTTCTCCCTATGGCTACGAAAGGGGTCATTTTTTTTTTCATGAGATTTTAAAAGAAGGCTTAAGAAAAGCACGCAGGCCCGGCCCGGTGGCTCACGCTAGTAATCCTAGTGCTTTGGGACGAGAAGGCGGGAGAGTCATTTGAGAGAAGGGGTTTGAGACCTGGGCAAGATGGTGAGACGCCGTCGGGACAAAATATCTTAAGAAAATCACGCACACCTGTGGTCCCAGCTACACGCGAGGCTGAGACGGAAGAATCGTTAGAGCCCAAGAGGTCGAGGCTACAGTGAGCCGTGATCGCGCCACTTCATTCATCCTCGGCGACAGAGCGAGACGATGTCTTAGGACAAAAAAAAAAAGAAACTAAAAAAAAAGCATGTAAAGGCGCTATCCGCCAGCCCACCCCTCCGCCATCTTTGCGCCCGCTGTCCTGCGCCGCCGCTTCTTTCCCAGGCAGAAGTTTCGCGCCAAATTGTTCCACACACAAAATGGAGCCTGGAAGGAGGCGAGGTCTTGCGCCTTGCAACCAATCATCTTCGGCAGCCAATCCGAGAGGCGGGGCGAAGGGGCACAGAACGGTCCAATCGCTGGCCGCGGGGCTCCGGCGAACCAATGGGAGCGCAGCTGCTGCGGCGTCCGAACGCCGCCTCTAGATTTTCCCGCGAAAGTCGGCGATTGAACGCTGGGGTTCTTGTGTCCCCTGGTTTGTCAAGTGCGGGAAACCAGAGGTGAGGCCACTGGGACTGGGGACTGGGGGCCACCAGGTACCTGCATTTCGGGGCGTAGTTGGAGTGGGACAGAGGTTTCTTGGGAACCGGGGTTGGAGTCCGGGAGGGCAGCCGGGGTCCCCGGCTCCGGACTCAGGGCGGGGACCCAGGGGTCGGAGGGGAGGGGGTGCCAGGCGCTGCCCCAGCCTGTTCTGGTCATTTGTTCCCATGCCAGGCGCAGTCATGTCGGGATTCGACGATCCTGGTATTTTCTACAGCGACAGCTTCGGGGGGGACGCCGCGGCTGACGAGGGGCAGGCCCGCAAATCGCAGCTGCAGAGGCGCTTCAAGGAGTTCTTGCGGCAATACCGAGTGGGCACCGACCGCACGGGCTTCACCTTCAAATACAGGTGCGGCCTGCAGGACCGAGGCGGCTCCTGCGGGTCGGGGGTCGCAATTCCAGTGCGGCCACACACGCCGCCGCCGTCCTGCTAGAGTCCTGGACAGTCAGAGCACAGATGGGCCCAGACAGGGGAAGGAGCCGGTCCTGGGTCACAGGGCTTATCCCGGTGCCCTCACCGCTTGGTATAAGGCTTTGTGTATTTTTAATTTTTATTTTTATTTCTTTTTTTTTTTAAAGACGGGGTTTCACCATGTTGGTCAGGCTGCTCTTGAACTCCCGACCTCAGGTGATCCACCCGCCTTGGCCTCCAAAGTGTTTGGATTACAGGCGTGAGCCACTACGCCCGGCCCTTTTATTTTTATTTTTTTGAGACCCAGCCTCGCTCTGTTGCCCAGGCTGGAGAGCAGTGGTGCAATCTCTGCTTACTGTGACCTCCACCTCCCGGGTTCAAGTGATCCTCGTGCCTCAGCCTCCTGAGTAGCTGGGATTACAGGCATCTGCCACCATGCCCGGCCAATTTTTTTTTTTTTTTTGAGACGGAGTTTCGCTCTTGTTACCCAGGCTGGAGTGCAATGGCGCTATCTCGGCTCACCGCAACCTCCGCCTCCTGGGTTCAGGCAATTCTCCTGCCTCAGCCTCCTGAGTAGCTGGGATTACAGGCATCTGCCACCATGCCCGGCCAATTTTTTTTTTTTTTTTTGAGACGGAGTTTCGCTCTTGTTACCCAGGCTGGAGTGCAATGGCGCTATCTCGGCTCACCGCAACCTCCGCCTCCTGGGTTCAGGCAATTCTCCTGCCTCAGCCTCCTGAGTAGCTGGGACTGCAGACACGCACCACCATGTCCAGCTAATTTTTTTGTAGTTTTAGTAGAGACAGGGTTTCACCATGTTGACCAGGATGGTCTCGATCTCTTGACCTTGTGATCCACCTGCCTTGGCCTCCCAAAGTGCTGGGATTACAGGCTTGAGCCACGGCACCCGGCCCGGCCAATTTTTTGTAATTTTAGTAGAGATGGGGTTTAGCCATGTTGGTGAGGCTGGTCTTGAACTCCTGACCTCAAGTGAATCAGCCTCCCCAGTCTCCCAAAGTGCTGGAATTACAGGCATGTGCCACCATGCCTGGGCTGCTTTGTGTATCTTATATATACCTGGAGTTAACTTCTGGGTGAGTCACCTGTTGAGTGGGCCACCGTCAACCCAGCTAGCACCACTTGGACCCTTTGGTTCTTTATCCAGATCTTGTTCCTGTTCATCTGCTTCCTTTCATCCTTCCATGTCCTGTCTGAGACCTTGTGAACTCAGGTTCCCTGTAGGTGTAAAAGGTGGAGGTGGCAGTAGGATTCACTTCACTTTGCTCATTCATTTATTCATACCAGTCTTGCACCTTCATTGATTGAGCACCGGCTACCTGCCAGACTCTGTTCTGGGTGCTGGGCTGCGGTGCTGAAGCTGGACCCGGCTCCTGCTTCTAGTGGATTGTATGACCTGTGACATCTTGAGAATCTTCATAGGCCCAGCTTCTATCCCTGAGACGTTAACATGCAGAGAACATGAGGTTGCAGACTCAGCATTGGGCCCGAGCAATTAGTAGCTGAGTGACTTCCAGATGTCATGGTCTCTGGGCCTCACCAGGCCAGAAACATGTAAAGCCATTCTGGCTTTCACTTACTCATGCAGCAGCTGATATTGACCACCTGTGTGCCAGGCACTGAGATAAAAAGATGAAAAGACTTACTTCTTGCCCTAGAGTAGCTTGTGAGTTGTGAAGACCGAAAGATGACTTCTACGGTGATCATTTCCTCTGCAGAGGAAGGTGAAACGACTTAGGGAAGTTTTCCAGGGGTGCTGAAGTTTGAGGTGACGTTTGAACTAAGGGAAGAGTTGCAGGTGTAGAAAGCATTCTGTCTAGGTAGGAGCAATTGCTTGTGTAGAGGTGTGGGGTGTCCTCATAGCAAGGGGCTTTCAGTGCCAGCCTGGCCATTTGATTGGCTCCTGGACATAAGGGAGATGGGGATCAGGCCTGTGATACTGCGAGGATGGGGGGCTGCCTGTGCATTGGTCAGTGGTCTCCAAATGTGTTATTGGAACAGTATTCTCATGGATGCTCTGCTAAGCATCTAGGTTAGATGCAGCGGCGCGTGCCTGTAATTCTAGCACCTCTGGGAGGCTGATGCTGGTGGATCTTTGGAGCCCAGGAGTTCAAGACCTGGCTGGGCAACATAGTGAAACCCAGCCCCTCCCTCCCTTCCACTGTCTTTCTCTCTCCTCTCTCTCTCTCTCTCTTTAC